TGGGGGCCTTGTTGTCGTGACACGATTTGGCAGAATGTGTGATGGAAGTGCACTGTCAGGGCTTGCAGAGAAAACGGGCTCGCCCGACCTGTGCCAACTTCATTCGGAGCTTTTGCCGGAAGGAGCACCCGACGAAACTGACAACAAATGGCCTTGCCGGAGCGAACCAGGGCAGCTAGGCATCGATACATCACAATTCCGGCCCGACTTTGCTTATCACCGCAACCGCCAAGCCATTCCTGAGGTCTGACATACAGCATTGTACGGTAATTCTCACAACTACTTGACCTTTAGCAGTGGAAATACATGGCGGACGCTGGACGGGAAGCGCCTCTTTCTTGTCCCGCCGGAGTACACATTCGGCAACCAAGGCCGTGAGCCAAGACCCTATGCCGAGGAGGATTGGGAGATCATGAGTCCCCAGGATCTCAAGGAATATCTTGCATTGCCGAGTACGCCGTCTGACGAAGAGCTTATCGGGCGCTGGGAGGGGAAACGGAGGAAATGGGCAAGGGGGGAGCCATGAACACGCGGCGGGAGGGGCATTTGCGGCTATGGTGATTGAGGATGTTACGAACCCATCGTCGTCATCATTCTGGAGGGATTATTTGGAGTTGCTGGGGTGGTTGCCCGTGGCTGTCGATATAGTTGCTACCAGTGAAGGTGGTCGATGAGCTTCTCAGAGAGCGAGCGGTGGTTTCTGGAGGTTTCACTGGTAGAGTCTGCTACCCATAGTGCGAATGAATTATGATCCATTTGTCTTTCTTTCCGAAGTTGAAGTCGATGTGTCGCAAATCAGGTGACTTGCACACAGTTGAAGATGGTGGTTGATTGGTGCGATGCCCCCACCCGGTGGATGGCCCGGTATTTCTTCAACGGACAGACATTTATGACATCCCCGTAAGACCTTTTGGAACATGTTCAAGACATTTTTCGATGCATCCAAGGCTTTAAAAGATGCATGCAAGGTCCTTTGTACGAAACCCAGGCCTTTTTACATGGTCAGGAGCCTTCAGGGGGATGTCACTAATGCATGTCTGTTGGAGAGATACGGGCTTACCTTCCACCATGTGGCACCTTCCCTGAATTTCACTGCCCAGACGATCTTTCCGCGCAACATCGTCCGACGAAAGAATGGAATCCGACGACAGTTTTTGCGCGAAATGCAATTTGCTATTCTTCGAGCCAAACCCTCTTCAAGAACGCCATGACCTTGAGCTGCATTCATTTCCATTTGTCTGTACTTTGCACCAGACACGGGAGTCCTTCGAGGAGTCGATCGCCCGAGCATGCCCCCTCTGCTGCCTGATCCAGGCCCAGCTGGGATCTCACGAATTTCTAAGCCCCGAGTGCGACGCCCTGGGTGCCTTTGTAGCACTTCTCCTCGACAATGGGTACGAGAGCGGCGGGACGGGCCGGCGTAGTCCGCTTGTCATTTCTATCGTTAGTCGCATGGGGAATGGAACACTCGAAGAAATGCGCCACGACATGTCAGGTTCGGGTCGACCGATTCCTGGTGATCACCTACTTCTGCTGACACATGAACAACGCAGCTGATTACAACGAGATCCTTCAAGCCAACATCAACGCAGGGCGTCGACAATGGCTCGACAACGGCCGGGCCGTGGGCGGTAGCACTCCCTTGTCTGACCAAAGCTCCGGTTCCCTACGACTCGCCCGTCTCTGGAGAGACTTGTGTTTCGCCACTCACCCCCTTTGCCACCTTGGTAGCCCATACCTGTCCGACGCACCCACTCCAACACGGCTTCTCAACGTTGTGGACCCTAGTCGACCGCACCTCGAGGAGGTCTCGACCTGGCAGCCATACGTCGCTCTCAGTTATTGTTGGGGACATGGGGAGAAGTTCCTCACCCTGCGTAAGAATATCGAGGAGCACCGGAGAGGCATTCCGATCAACGCACTCCCGGCAACGTTCAGGGACGCCGTGTACGCTACCAACCAGTTGGGATACGACTACGTCTGGATAGATGCCTTGTGCATCATCCAGGATGACAGAGACGATTTGGGCAAAGAGCTGGGGCACATGGGCAATATCTACCGGCATGCTATCCTCACCATACGCGCTGCGAGCGCTGTAAGTTCCCACGCCGGATTCTTTCACCACAAGAATCCCCTGCAACTTCACCCATGCTCAGTGCGGGCCGTTGTGTATTCGGATCGCTGCAATCATGTCCTCGACCTCCATTTGCACGGCAGCTGCAGTGGCCAAGATTATCTTGAGAGTCGCGGTTGGATTCTCCAGGAAGAAGTCCTCGCCTCCAGAGCCATTACCTTTGGAGCACAGGTTTCATGGCGGTGCATGGAATCTAGCGCGGAAGAAACGTACCCGGTACTTCGGGAGCCACCCTCCTCAGCGTCTGGAACAGATGAGATGCGCCTGCGGTTGTATGCCCCAGACCATGCTCCTGCTTCAATGGCCGTTGCTGCACGAAGTCATTTTGCAAGCTGGCAGCAGATGGTGTGCGGCTATAGTGTCCGAGAGCTGAGCTTTGAGAGAGACACGTTGCGGGCAATCTCTGGATTAGCAGACATGTTCTCGCTGATGCACGGAACGACCTATCTTGCAGGCTTGTGGAAGGAGAACCTGATGGAGGACCTGACGTGGTACGTCTCCACAAACGACAACCGATCAGTTTCGGGCCTGGACAACCAACTCGCCGCGCCATCTTGGTCTTGGGCCTCGGTGGGCAAAGTCAGCATCGGCTTTCCACAGCGCACATTCCACCGCGAAAATGGCACCAGAATTCGCAGGCCGACCCAGACCGTTGTGCGGCATGCCTTCTGCGCGTCGAAGGATCCAATCAACAGTCTCGCGGCTGTAGACTGCCAAGGAAAAGGGGGTGACATGAGAAGAGAATGGTCCCTCAAACTCGTGGGTCAGCTTCGACGACTTGTTCTTTGGCGGAGCAGAGAATACACCAACTGGCGTATCAATACGGTCATCTATGGCGACCCACTGTCGAACCCTTCCGACAAATTCTCGCCGGACGCTTCATCGCTGAGCATAGAACCCAGGTTTCCGGGTGTACTCTGCCGCCCAGATAACCCTAGTCGTATGGTGGGAGAAGTAGCCCTTGACTCCTCCACCTTGCCTATCACTACCAAGCAAGATACCTCGCCGGATGGCAGAGGGATGGACGTGTTTTGCCTGTCGCTGGAGAGCAACACGCCTGTGGAGCCTACCCTTATCCTATGCCTGATCTTAACTCCTCTCCAGCCAGGTTCGCTCTTGTTCAGGAGGCTAGGTCTGGGTTTTGTCATCGAAGAGGGTTGGTCTGGCGGGGATAGTGAATATGGAGGAGGTGTGGTCGAGTGCGAGATCGTTTAGCGGGGGAAACAGCTGCTGGCACGCCACAATAGATCCCGACGTCCCTCTACGACTCGGAGAATACAGGACCACTGTTTCATCGTTTATTCCCAATCGTGGAGAATTATGCCCCCCTCAAGTTCCGCGACACCCGCACCAACTACGACGGCCGGTAGTGACACATGGGTACGTTCCGAATTCCGAACCCGAGTAGTGTGGAGATTATCCAGGCACATTGGTGTCAACTTGGGCCGTCGCAATTTTCCGTTCCCGGATATACAAGCCCCCCAATTTAGCGGCGATTTCACCACCGGGGAAGTGTAAAAACTCTCGAGCATTGATGCCAGCAGAACGATAGCTCAATACTATCATCACCACTCATCCGATGTTATTCCCACACGATCTCGGTTGTTTGCGAATCGAAGCGGAGTGTTTTTGAGCGGAGAAGTACGCCGTCCGTCCGAGTGCGACAGGGGCATGGGCTCGCTCGTCCCGGTTGGCTGGGTATTATCACGGTCGCTAAGATGAACAAGCTTTGCGGCGAGTCTTTGATGCCCCCGCAATACCGATGAAAGTATCCGTCCCAAACTTACCTTGGTGGTGGGCACCCCGAGACGATAAATGCAAGGCCAGCCCCGTAGCTTTCAGGGACTTGGCCGGGACAACAAAGCACGCCCATCTCACCGCTTGTCAAAATGTATGCCTCACGCACAGTACTCACGGTGGTGCTCGCCCTCTCAGGGGTAGCCACATCCTCTCCAGTTGAGGTCGTTGAGCGTCAGGCTCAGAAGCTGAGAATCAGTATGTCACACAAAGCTCGAACCCCTGGGCCCCTTGTGAGCAATATTGCTGACACATCCAGTGCCCCTCGGCGATAGCATCACCGAAATCACCTGCTGGCGTGCCTTTGTCTGGGACCAACTCGCCGAGGCTGGGCTAGCCTCCCAAGTCCAGTACGTCGGCTCTCAGAACAGCAACCCCCAACGCTGCCAACCCACTACCGCCAACTGGGACCAGCATCACGAAGGCCACTCTGGCTGGCTTGCCGTCGATATCGCCAACAACTATCTTACTGGGTGGCTCCAGAAGACCCCTGCCGATATCGTCATGTTCATGCTCGGCACCAATGACGTTTCCCGCGGCAAGACCACCACGGAGATCATAGCCGCTTACACCAAGATGGTTGGCATCATGCGGGCGGCGAACCCAAAGATGAAGATCATTATTGACTTGGTCATCCCGCTGGGGACGAATGCCAAGATTGTAGCGATCAATGACGCCATTCCGGCATGGGCGAAGGGACTGAACTCGACGGAAAGCCCGATTGTGATTGCGGATTGCTATACAGGGTTCAAGACTTCGGATTTGAGGGATGGAGTCCATCCTTCCATCGCGGGAGACAGGATCATTGCGAGCAGGGTGGGGCCGTTGCTGTTGAACTTTGTGAAGCAGTCGCTGGGGAAGTAGAGCGGGCTGTGAAGGAGGATTTTCCAGGTGAGTATTTCTTGACGCAAGTGTTTGTTCATGGGTACTGACACATGGTGTTTTCAGGACACTTTATTGCACGGTTTCCTTGTCTGACGAATGCGGCATGTGGAGCACAGAATAGGGGCGATGACTTGATATGTGTCGGGGCAAAAAGAAAATTGACAGCTTGATTGTCAACCCACCACTCCCTAACGGAGAATCGAGTTCCGAGCTTCGCGGTGAAAGCGCGATATGTTAACCATTACACTATTAGGGATGAGAGATGCTGTATTGACACGAAATCACCCTCTGCATGGGCGTCGCGAGTCGTGGGTGGAGGGTCTCATCACCCACAACCCGAGCGCAACCAGCCGAGTCAGAACTCCTTGGCGCGACGATGGATTGGTGCGGAGTATGTGCTCCACTTGGCCGTATCTCTCGGCTCACAACTCCATCACGCTCGCCGGGTTCGGTTCGGGTTCGTTTCGCCCCCCATCAAGGTCGGCTGAGGTCGGGCATCGACGTTTTGAGGCTAGTTCACTGCAGAACCAACCAGCAAAGAGCACTTTCATGCGGGGGATCATCAGCCACTCGCTTCTGCTTTCAGAAGCAATGATCTCTGTGGCTGCGCGGGGATTTGGAATCCGCTCGTCAACGTCGGGCCAAGCACAAACATGCCGGATCTTGACGCCCTGATGTCTAGACGATGGACGAAAATAAGATAAGCTGGCATGACCACGAGGGCCTGCGCGCCAGCTGCACGCCAAGAGGGCCGTGGTAAAACAAGCTTATAAGTGGCGTGTCCACTCCGGACTTCAAGGGCCATGCATCATGTCGCAAGGATGGAAGGCCTCCCCAGTGCGGATAAGAGCGAGTCTGGTAACGGCACGGTATGTCATTTTCCGCAGTTATCAGCAGAGAGTACTAAGTACTGACTACTCACCAAAGTCGCCTGCATGGTACGACAGTTGGAACGATTTAGGGAACCTGAACGCCGAAGCCTCGCAGATGAGCCTCAATAATGATTCTTTCGCATCATTCTCGCCACACCCTCCACATCCCGCAAACACTTACGCCTCGGGGTCAAGAGTACTGTCTCCCTCAGGCTTGGCAGACTGCTCCAGCTCAGAAACCCAAGAGCACGACATGCAATGCCCCCATTCATCCTACCCCTATTCTGCGGCATTCCATGGCGCTGGGCTCGCTTCTTCGCCCTGCCAGCCCATCAACGCCATGGGTTCCGCATCTCTGTACCACCCTCCTGATGCCGACACGTGCCTTACGGCATGCAGCGCCCAGGACGCCGCCCAATCACCATCACCACCGCCAGCCGGGCCGAAATCCTCGTTTTCTTCCCCGCTCAACCGTGCCGCACACCCCTTCAACCCAGCGGTGCCCAATTTCAGCTCTGATACATTCAGCGCATACCAGCTTGAAGGCAGCAGGAACTCAGACATAATTAAAGCACATCCCTTGAGAGCTGGCAGCTTTGCCACCTCTTCTTCCAACGACTTTGACCCGCCGCCTCCAGCAAAGAAAGCCCGCACGAGAACATCTCAAAGTGGAAAGACGGCTGGTAGCAGCAAGTCCAAGAAGATGAGTTCCCAACAACCGCCTGAAAGGGGTAGCAGCCAAGGTTCTGCCCCCCCTGACGCCCACCCGCCACCGCCACAGGACGACACGGGAATGACGGCAGAGGACGAGCAGGCGCGCGTCCGTCAGTGGCACAACTGCATCGGCAAGAAATACCGCAACAAGCTCAACGACGAGTTCGAGTCCCTGCAGGCTGTTCTCGGCAAGGGTGAGGAGACGGTGCCGACTGGCAGGGAGTCTGAGGCGGCCGAGCAGGGGAAGGAACGTGAACAGGATGTGGATGCCGAAGGTGAAACCGAAGATCGTGTGGAGGGGCCAGGGCGTAGCAAGCGGAGGCAGCTTAACAAGGCCAAGGTGCTGGATATGGCGAAGGAGAGGATTGAAGCGCTTACCCTCGAGAGGGAGGCGTTGATCAGAGAGAAGGAGGAGTTGAGGGCGAGGGGGGCGCAGGTTAGGACGGGTGATGTGGGATAGGGGCTAGGGCAAGGGAAAAGGGGAAAGGAAAAAGGAAAAGGGGGTTACTTGGGGGGATGTTTTCTCTATTTCCTATCTGAGTGGGATTACAGGATGGCCATCGTCTTCAAGCGCAGCGCAACCAACCAACTATTTCAATCTGACCATTTCACAGCTGATACTCTTCATCACAACCAGTTTGTCCAAAGAGAGCCCATCAAGCAGAAGAAATACGCAAGCGGAAGGCAAGAAGGGCCGGCAGCTGCGTGTAGTTAGCGCTCGAGTCAACCCGCTCCTCGTTGCCGTCGGCTTCGGTGAAAGCCAACTCCTCCATCCCGTCCAACACGAGACCGGCTTTGAAGAAAGTGGTATACAGCTCGCCGATGGGGCGATGCCAGCAGATCTTAAGCAGCGGCCGTCAGTATGAACTCACCTCACCTCCTTTGACACGGTCTCAGACTTACCTGCTTCTTAGGCTGCCCGATGTGCGCGACCCCCTTCGCCGGCGCCACGGACATGTACTCCGTGATGACTTTGCTGCGCACCACGCGCTGCTCGCCCGTCTCGGGGTCGAAGTCGATCGTGATGCTCTTGGCCGCGTTGGAGGTGAAGAAGACTGGGTGGAGGATCGTCGCGACGAATCTGCGTGTCATGTGGTGTTAGTCTTCTTTCGAAGACCAACGTATCATCGCAAATACTCACGTCCCGCCCTTCTGCAGCAGCTTTGGCAGCGCCGCGGCGAGGGGCTCGATATCGCCGACGTCCATGATGGCCATGTTCATGAGGACGATATCGAAGGGTTCGCGGCCCTGTTGTCGTTAGCTTTTCTCCCCTTTCTCGTCCCACCTTTTCACGCCTTCGCCCAGTTACTCTCCTCCCCATCACCGCGGAGAAGAGAAGGACACTCACCTCTCCCTCCAAAAACCCCTCCCAGCCCTCCTTACTCGTGACATCCAAAACCCCAAACTCAATCCCACAACCCTCAGACCGCCCCTTCGCAATCCCCACCATCACCTCACTCCCATCCGTCGCATAGACCTTGGCTCCCCGTCCGGCAAGCCATCTCGCGCAGAGACCATTGCCAGTCGCGAGGTCCAGGGCTCTGCATCCCGGCTTGGCGAGATTTGGGCCCAGCAGGCGAGAGAGGGACGGCTCCTGGAGCAGACGCCAGTATTTGTTTCCGTCTTTGCCGATGGTGTCGTCCCAGTAGGGGGCTATGACGTTCCAGGCGGAGAGAGATTCAGCGTCGAGGGAGGAGGACATGGTGGTTGTTTGGGTTGCTGCGGTGGTCTTGGGTTGCTCAGGGGGAGGGTTAGGAAGAGGGTCAGTGGGAAAGCAGGGGAGAGTTCTAGATCAGCTCGCAAGACTCCAGCAAAGAAAACGACCCCCTTTTAATAATATTCACGACTACCAAGTCCAACCCGAGGAGTACGGCAGTGTAACCATCGCCAAGCCTCGCTGCCACGCTGCAACTCCCCGCAGTGACTCAGGCCGATTGACACTGCAGTGTCGCCTGAATCTCATTGGGCCCGCGGCACGACATAGCCTACGATCATGCAGATTGCATGCACCCCAATATCAGACCTCCCAGCTCGGAGTAAGACGATGTCTTTGCGAATCTTCATGATAATGACGGATCTAGAGTCATAACCTCAGCTCAGCGCATGGAACACGCCCGTCGTCAGCACTGCACCTCCTCGGCCTCAGCCATCAAATCTCTCCTCTCGGTGCAACGCTCCAAATACCACGCCGGGTAGTCTCTCTCCTCGCGTGCAATCGCCAGCCAGCCAGTCAGTCAGCCAGTCAAATCCCGGACCGAGCCAAACCAAACCGAATCGAACTCAAGACTCAAGCCCGTGACACCCCCCATCCCCATCCATCTCCAACCTTTTTCCCCCCTAAACATGCGTAACCCTAAACGCCGTCGACACAAAATGCCCATCCGTCCCATTCCAACAGCTCACACTCCCCCTCGCCTCGCTCTTGCCCCCCACCGCCGACCCAACCGCACTATTCGTATAAAACCTTAAATCGTTCGCCCCAAACAGCGCATTCTGCACCGGCTGCCCCGAGCTCAACGCAACCGGAAACTTGCACGTCCCCGACGCCGCCAGCGTAACCCACCCGCCCGGCGCCGCGTTCCAATCCGCCACGCTGATGGACCAGTACCCTAGCGCGCCGGACGCGCCGAGGCTCGTCTGGATGGTGTACGCCTGCGCGATGGCGGAGCAGTCCGAGGCCAGCGGGGCGTCCGGCCCGCCCGAGACGACGGTGTTCCATTCGCCGCAGTAGTCGTTGCGGCCCGCGGCGGGGGTGGCGTAGGTGATGTACTGGAGGCGCTTGGTCAGAGTGGAGGGGAGGACGTCGGCGTCGCGGATCTTGTGGAAGGTGAGGGCGGGGTTTTCGTAGACGACGGCGATGGTGCCGTCGGCGAGGGTCACGTCGCGCGGGACGAGGCCTTCGTAGGGGGAGGGGGTGACGAGGGCGGTTGTGAGGGAGAGGAGGCTCAGGAGGGTTTGCTGCGCCAGGAGACGGAAGGAGGAGGAGGGCATGTTGGCGTTGATGTGTGTTGGTATGTGGGTGGGAGATGGGAGAAGGGGTCGGTGAGGTCGGGTATGTCTAGGTGGTGAGATATGTCTGGAGACGAAGACGAGGGATGCCGACCAGGTGAGGATGCCGAGTGCGTATCGAGAGTCAGGAGAAGTAAGCCGGGAGGGTCGGAGCTATATACCAAGGAGATGCCTGACGGCTACAAACGCATCACGGATACGCCCTATGCGTGTCACGGAGATTCTGCTGATGTCGTATGTTGGTTTGCGCGCCGCAATGAATGGCAGCTTGGCCAACCCCGCTCAAGTCCGATGCTGACGGACATTTCTCAAGCTTGACGAACGCGGCATCCGTCATCCTATAGTGGCCGTCTCACCAGGATTTGCGATGCCGGGCTTGCCAAGGAGAAAGGGGATTGACCCCCCTCAGATCGAGTGGGCCCTGCATCCGACCATTGTGACCGGGAATCGGGGAAGCAAGAACTGTGATTTGCGGGCTGTTGGGTGGTCGCGTTGGGGGCCTGGGGCGGCGCGGACCAATCACGATGCCCGAGTTGCCCGTGGGCTAGCGGTTCGCCTTCAGGGTAGGTGATTGCAGTGTGCTCAGCACACTACGCTAAAAGGCCCGAGTTTCATGCTTCCCAAATTCTCCGGTCCGGTGAGTGGCTGCCAGAGCTGTTCG